GTTTTCGACCCTACATTAAAATGTTTAAGGCAATTGCTAAATTATTTTTCATAGAGGTTTCAACATTTTATACCACAACCAGCAGTATTTGAAGGCATTTTCTCATTCTAACTAATATAGTGCTTTATTAGAAAAAACATTTTGAGCTGGACACTAGTGACTCATGCAAATAAATCCTGGCTACTCAGGAGGCTTGAGATCTGAAGATCATATATCAAAGACAGCCTAGGACAATATTAGCCAGCAAAAAGCCAGATGTAAAGGAATAGCTCAAGTGGTAGAATGCCAGCTTTTTTTTTGGGGGGGGGGCGGTCATGGGGCCTGAACTCTGGGCCTGGGCGCTGTCCCTCAGCTCTTCAGCTCAAGACTAGCGCTCTACCACTTGAGCCACAACGCCACTTCCGGGTTTTTTCTTTTTGCTTATGTGGTGCTGAGGAATCGAACCCAGGGCCTTAGGCATGCAAGGCAAGTGCTCTACCACTGAGCCACCTTCCCAGCCCAGAATGCCAGCTTTGAGAAAAAAAAAAAAAAAAAAAGCAAAGGGAGGGCCTGAGGTCCTAAGTTCAAGCCCAGTACAGGTACCAAAAATAAAAAATAAGAATTGGCAGTACAGGGATTGAACTCAGGATGTTACACTTAATAGTAGGCAAATAAATACTCAATCACTTGAGCTATACATTTAGTCTAGCTATCTTTTATAAATTGAGCCCTTACTACTACAAACACGTAGTTTTTTTTTTAGCTTGTTGATTTTTGTGACTAAAAATACTTCAAAACACTTTTATTTCTGAACCTTAAATTTTTGTAAGGATGATAATCTGGGTCTCTTTGGATTCTAAAGGAATGTTAATATGCACCATTTGTTGGTGGTACTTTGTGCTTTATGTGCTTTAAAAATGAATTGAGCTAGGCATGTAGTTCAGTGGTAGAGTGATTGCCTGGCATGTCCCAGGCCTATTGCTCCTTCACCTGCACTATAAAAAAAACAAGTGTGCATCTGTCACTTTGTTGTCTAAATATCTATCTTTGTCTGTCTAATCTATGTATCTTGAACTCAGGGTCTTGCTCTTGTTACTCAGATGTTCTATTTGAGCTGCACTTCCAGCCTTTTTTGCTCTCTCCCCCCCCCCCCACATAGGGTCTCAATATTCTGCCCAGGGCTGTGTAGCTTGGGATGTGTAGCTTGCCACCACCATGCCAACTTGTTCGTTGAGATAACATCTTCCTAATTTTTTTTTTTTTTAGCCAGGCTGGCCTCAGCGATCCTTCTGTATCCTAGCCTCCTAAGTAGGTATCTTACAGGTATGAGCTATTGTTTCTAGCTTTAAGCATTTATTTTTTAATAAAAGGGTACTTTTGAGTTGGCATGTATTATCTCTGGCATATTCTGGCAGTCACAGTCTTCTGAGTTTGGATGTGTCAGAGAGCTAGTTTAAAAGGTTTGGTTCGGCACTTAGGAATCATAAGCATCCTGCCAAATACTCCAGACTGGGTCTGATTTAAACTAAGTTCAGTGTACTCTTCCTTTTGTTCAAGACTTCATCCTTTTCCTTGTGAACAACCATGAAACATTTGAAATGCTTATTTACTTGATTCTTCTCTCAGGCATATATGTTCAGCACTAAATATGCCCTCTCATCATTGTGTGGCATATACTATGTTAGTTATGAATTAGTCACTCTAAGAACTGAGGCCACTTGCATGCCTGAAGGCCCAGAATTGCCATTCAGAGACTTGAAGAATTTAGTTGGCGTAGTAATGGGATCTGTTACCCTGCTAGGGTGATGCCATCTTCCTGACAGTCTGACAACTAGTTAGTTCTTACGTTTTGTCTGGACTTAGTCCAAATGGTTTTTATTATGGTAGCTGGATTCCAACTGAGGAAGTTGATGGTAGGTAAATTTTCCTGTGAGTTAACGGTGCTCCACCTCAACTCCTTGGAGGTAACAGTTACATTTCCTTCAAGCAAAGTAATGTCTGCTCCTAAATGAGCAGTTTTCCAGAAATCATGGTTCTGGATGAATTCTTATGTGAGCAGCTCTGGTATTTTCCAGTCACTATAGTCTTCATTACAGGTGCCCTCAAGACACCAGATACCTCTGACTTCAGTGAGTTTTCTGCTAAGCCCCCAAGATGTTTGGACAGTTGTTTGATAACTGTCATTTACTTGCTGTTTTCTCTTCTAAGAATTTATGTGCAGATTGGTATTGGCAAGGTAACTGGTCTGGCTGGTTCACTGTTCTCTGGTCAGGAGGCTGGCACTCATAAACAGGCACTGGGGGGTGGGGCAGGCCACCAGGGGAGAGGTCACCTCTGAGGGAGGCAATTATTTGGCTCACAGGGCAGTAAACCATTCATGTAAAGGACCAGATAGTAAATATCTCAGGCTTTGCAGGCCACAGTACCACATATCCTTTTCTTTTTTACATACCTTTAAAGAAATAAAACCCATATCTAGCTCAAGAACCTTTAGATCAGACAATATCAAGATTTGGTCCTCCGGCTGTGATTGGCCAACTTCTGAACTAGGTGAAGAAATGAGCTTGTTGCTACATGTGTTTAATGTTTCAGGGACATGAACCCAGAGTAACCTTGGGAATTCTCAATTGATTTTGATCCAAAAAAGAGTGATTAAAACTTTGGCTTATGGGTTCATGTTTGGTAAATGACAGTCCCTTTGGACCTGTGTAACTCAAGGTAACTTTGGTCAGTAGGACAGAGGGTTCTTGTGCCTTCCCTAGAGGGATGCTGGCCTAGGGGAGCAGAATGCGACTAGAGTTAGGCTGGGCACGAACGGGTGCCTGAAACACAGTGAGACAGGCTGCTTTGGGGTTATGGTTAGAAACCCGGCATTGTACAGTGGATGGCTAGGTTATATGAAAGAGCACTGCTGTACCTTAGATTCTGAGAACACCAGATTCTGATACATGAATCCACATCTAGTTTTCCTCTTACCCACAGGAAGTTCTGTAGAGGAGGCTTGGCAGGTAGGAAGTGTTCATTTATTATTTCAGGGTAATTTGGTGCAGTAGTTGAAGAGCCTGGCCTAAGATAAAGGTGATGTAGGAATTCTTGCTGTACCACTTACTGGTTGTGTGACCCTGAGAAACTTAGTCTGCTAAGCCTCAATGCCTTGGTCTGTAAATGGCAGTGGTCATGCTGCCACAAAGGAGTTGTGAGAATTGAGGACAGTATGTAGAAAATGCTGTTGACTCAATTCCTATCATGTTGTTTTCATTTATTATGTAAGCAATAATGGTAAAATGAATGTGGAAGAAATAGGGATCAGAAACAGGAACAAGTGTTTGTGATTTAGAGCCACATTTGGGATCATGTTAGAAGAAGAACAGAACCGGATCTATGTCTGCTTCTTGTCTTCTAGTCTGTTTAGTGGAAATAATACTTGTTGACATATTGGTAACCAAGCGAAGTAATAAGTTTGACTTTATAAAACATTGGATAAATTTTAAGGTAAAGTCAGTATCTATGAATTCAATTTCTTGAACTTGTAAATGTTTTAGAATAGAGCCAGAAGGTGATTCATGCAGATTGTTTTGTCAAGGCTGAGAATATAGCTGTCTGGTATGTGCTAGGCTCTAGGTTCTACCCTAGCACTATGGGAGTGTGGGGTTGTTTTGTTGGAGATAGTTGATAGGATTCTGTCATGTTCGACTTCCATGTTCAGGACTTCCATTAGTAACTTTTTTTGTTTGTTTTTAATTTTGGTGTGCTGGTAATGAGGCTTGAATTTAGGGCCTTGCATTTTTACTCAAGCTTTTTTGTTCACAGCTGGCATACTACCACTTGAGCCACATTTTTTTTTCTGATTAATTGGAGATAAGAGTTGAATTTTTTTTGCTGGGAAGGTGGCTCAGTGGTAGAGCGCTTGCCTTGCATGCTCGAGGCCCTGGGTTCGATTCCTCAGCACCACATAAGCAAAAAGAAAAAAGCCGGAAGTGGCGCTGTGGCTCAAGTGGTAGAGCACTAGCCTTGAGCTGAAGAGCTGAGGGACAGCGCCTAGGCCCAGAGTTCAGGCCCCACGACCGGACCCCCCCAAAAAAAAGAGTTGAATTTTTTTCATCTAGAAAGTCTTCAAACTGCAATTCTTAGATCTTAGCCTTCCAAGTAGCTAGGATTACAGACCTGAACCACTGGTACCCAACTCTGCTAGAACTTGCATAATATGGAATGAATACTAAAAAATTGGTATGCTTTTGCAAGATATTTGAAATAGTGGAATTTTAAAATGAGTGAACAGGTGAGAAAGTAGGCTGGAGATGTTTATTCTTGATTGAAGAAATGTGACAGTGTCTTACAAAACTAAAAATGTATGTATCCTATCCTTTTTTTCCTGCAATCTCCTTTCTAGGAATTTATCTTGGAAATACATTTGCCATGTACATTTGTGTAGAGTAAATTAAATACATTATTTGTAACAATCAAAAGGTGGAATTGGCAGTGTCTAGCCTTTGGAGACTGCTTACCTAAATCTTTCCATTTGTAAGCTATGTATATGCAAAGAGCAAGGGGTTTCTATGAACTGATGGAACTCTTCTAAGATAGATTAAGCTAAAAGAACAAGGTAAAAGCAAGGTGGGAGAAGGGTGGAAAGGAACAGCTGATATCCTCCTATAAACAAAAATTCTCTTAGGAAAAAATACAAATTGAGCATCTACCCAGAAGAACTCTGGGAAACGAGACAGATAGGAGGGAGATTTACATTTCTTAATGTATTATTTTTATCCTTTATATTTACAGATACATATATTTAATTCAAAAAGTATGAGTGGCCACAGTTCCTATTTATTGGAGTTGTAAACTCATATGTCTCTCCCACATTGGTGTGTGCCTCACCAGTCCCTTTGACCTTGATGTCTGGAGAAGCTGGCACTAATGGCTGGCTCACCCTAAGACAGTCTGCCCCTCCCACAACAAAGCACATTGACGTTCTTCCTCTTGATTTGTGTGACTGACATTGCTTCTCTTTCCACCCCCAGCTCCAGCAGCATGTAAACAACTTTCGCCAAGAAGCCAGGTCACCGCTGAGAAAGGGCAGGAAGAATTTTGAGTGGCCACCTATGCCAGGTGTGCCTGGAGTTCTGCAGGCATGAAACATTCCATGCCAGCCTCCGTGTGCCACTGGCGAAGGTTGAGGCTCTTCAGGTAGGAGGGTCCTGGGGGCAGCAGCACCAGGATCCCTTCCAAAGGGAGAATGGGGACAGATACGAACTCTCTACAGTGAATTTGGGTTTCAGCTTATGAAGGAATTTTAAGCAAAATTATTTAATTTCCACATATTCACCTTCCAAAACCTTCTGTGTGAAGTGCGAGTGTCACCCCCTCCACGGGAGTTATCAGGAGTTTTCTGGCACCAAGGTGAACTCTTCTTGGTATTTCTGGCAATACAGATCTGCTGGACAGATTGATCTGCTGAATGCTGTGGGGCAGGAAACGGAGCAAAGCCTCTGGAAGCAGTGGACAGGTAGTGGAGTGGAGAGCTCTCCTTTGCCACTTACTTGCACAGAAACACAGCCTGGACACGCATGCTGGAACTGAAGACTTGTTCTACCTTGTTCGCTATCAAGTTCCTCTGCTCTGTGCAAGCAATTAAATGATGTGATCCTGGGGATGGAGTTTGTCACCCTTGGGGGACTAGCTTCCTTTCTCAGGTTGGTGCTGTCAGAAAGGACCATCTGAAGGCCACGGTTTGTGCGTGGGGAAGAGGGCACCAGCCTGGCCTGGATCCTCCACCATGTTCCTCTTGCTGCCTTTTGATAGCCTGATTGTCAACCTTCTGGGCATCTCCTTGACAGTTCTCTTTACCCTCCTGCTCGTTTTCATCATAGTCCCTGCCATTTTTGGAGTCTCCTTTGGTATCCGAAAGCTCTACATGAAAACTTTGTTAAAAATCTTTGCGGTGAGTTGAGCTATTTTGACGGGTAGTGTCACAGAGGAGGGGGCTTGGTTTGGGCAGAAACAATTCTTACCCGGCTGGTAAGAACACCTGGCTGTTTCTGCTAGACCTGGAAGAAACTGAGAAAGTAGGGTGTGGGGATGGACTTTGGAGGAAATGGAGAAATGAGTGCATACACTGACCCTGAGTCCCGTGACTCTGCATCTTGCCTGCCTTGTCACAGCATGAGACATAAAATCAAGCGCATTGCTATGTACTCCTTGTCCCTATAGAGCAGATATATGGTGCACAGTGCTGCCAACCTGTCCCCCTCTGAAAAGCCTTTTCTCTCCTTACACATTTATTTAAAGAAAGCCCTTACACTTCATACAAAAAGAATGAACAGAAAAGGGAGTTTGAACTGTTTAATTTTCTGAAAGATAGAAGGGGAAGATAGTATATTTCTGAACATCAGTCAGAACATTGGCCAGAACTGGCTGCATTATAAAGAAAGTAGATGAGGGGCGGGGGGAGGCTGGGAAGGGATGTGAAGGGTAAACAAAGGAGGAGGCTGCAATGCTTGGCAAGAAATGTATGCATTATCCTGCCCATGTAATTGTAACCCCTCTGTACAGTATGTTCACAAATAAAATTAAAAAAAAGAAAGTAGATGAGAAAGGAAGCTAATAAAACTAAGCTAATAAGACACCATAAAATTTTGAATGTCTAGGCAGAGATTTGGTCATTTATTTGCAAAATCTCAAAACTAGTCCCCAGCTCTGCAGAAATATTTTTTTTTTGCGGGGGTCTGGTCATGGGGCCTGAACTCTGGGCCTAGGCACTGTCCCTCAGCTCTTCAGCTCAAGGCTAGCGCTCTACCACTTGAGCTACAGTGTCACTTCTGGCTTTTTTCTTTTTGCTTATGTGGTGCTGAGGAATTGAACCCAGGGCCTCATGCATGCAAGGCAAGCAGTCTACCACTGAGCCACCTTCCCAGCCCAGGAATTCTTTTTCACAGATGAAACCATGTATAGCTTTGAGAACTGCAACTTCATGGTCAAAGTAAAGCCACATCACTTTTTTTTTTTAAAAATTTTTTTTGGGGGGTGTCCGGTTGTGGGGCCTGAACTCTGGGCCTGGGTGCTATCCCTCAGCTCTTCAGCTCAAGGCTAGCGCTCTACCACTTGAGCCACAGCGCCACTTCCGGCTTTTTTCTTTTTGCTTATGTGGTGCTGAGGAATCGAACCCTAGGCCTCATGCATGCAAGGCAAGCGCTCTACCACTGAGCCACCTTCCCAGCCCGCCACATCACTTTTTTATGTAGTATCTGGTAGGTTTGTTTGGTAGTGCTGGACCCCAAATCTTGAGCCTTTCACATAGTGAGCAAGTGTTTTTCCTCTGAGTTATACCCCTAGCCCTATCTTATAGTTTTGAAGGTTTTTTCTTTTTGTTTGTTGTTTTTATTTTGTTTGTTTGTTTGTTTTTTTGGTCGGTCATGAGTCTTGAACTCTTGGCTTGGGTGCTGTCCCTGTGCTCTTCAGCCCAAGGCAAGCGCTCTACCGCTTGAGCCACAGCGCCACTAGTTTTGGGGGTTTTTTGAATGCGGAGTTTGAACTCAGGGCCTGGGTGCTGCCTTGAGCTTTTATTTATGGCTTAGCACTCTACCCCTTTGAGCCACAGTTCTACTTCTGGTTTTTCTGGTGGTTAATTGGAGAGAAGAGTCTCACAGACTTTCCCTGCCTGGGCTGGCTTTGAATCATGATCCTCATATCTCAGCCTCCTGAGTATCTAATATTATAGGTGTGAGCCACCAGCACCCAGCGTATCTTATAGTTTTTTTTTTTTTAATGCTTACACTTTCTTGTGGCTCCTTAGAATTATGTGATGAACAGGGTAAATATTCTTATTTTATCAATAAGGAAAGAGACTTAGGAAGATTACCTGAAATATATGAAATGTTCATGATAGTGGAGGAAATGAGATACAATATTTTTTTTTGATGATGCTACAGTTTGAACTTCAGATCACATACCTGCTAGGCAAGCACTCCCCTATTGGGCAAGTGAATCCCTTTTATGACTGAATTTTTAGGATGTACACTCTTGTGAATTCTAATATAGATTATTATTACACCATGGAAACCTCATTCAATGTTTACTGTTGTGCTAATATGTGGAAATGTAATTTTGGACCATCAGAAGCACATCTTGGAAAACCACTAGTCTGAGCAAAGTGATTTAGTAATGGAAATAGCAAGATTAAGATTTTAAAAGAGTAGAAGCTGATGGTATGGCTCAGTGGTAGAATGCTTGCCAGCATGTGTGAACTTCTGGGTTCCATCCCTAGTTACCAGGTTCATTATTCATTTCTACATTTTACTGATTTTCTTTGTAAATACCATTAAATAGCATTCAGTTCATATAGTTGTGCTTTTGTCTGCTTTTGAGAGAGATGGAGAGGATGTAGATGAATGATTCCTCTCTTGGAGGACTAAACTCAGAGCAGGTCCCATGGATGCTGAGTTACTAAAGACCAGAATGTTCGAGGAGTATCATATTTAAAGGGGTTCTGTCCTTTCCTGAGTGTATCTGCTTCAGATTTCCTTTTCTTAGTGATGATAGCATTTTAAAATGGAAGCCCAACTTTTCACCTTTACCCAATAAGCTTGAAGAATATTCAATGACTTGGGAACAACAGAAGAAACTTGTGTTTCTCTGCCTGAGGTGAAAGGTATCAGTCAAGTTAGGGGAAAAGGATGGGACTTTGGCAGTTTGCACATCTTCCAGCTCCACTGGATAAATGGAGGCTGCGATGGTTTGGAAGACCAGCTTCATGTGCTTGTGGGATTAGAGTGGGAAGATCATTTGTTTTTGGAGCAGGTATCCCTCACCTTGAGTACTTGGGATTTTCCACAGCTCCCATACTTACCTTGATCATTGAACTTGGCAGCCTGTTTCCTCATCTGGAGAGGAGTGGTAATTCTAACCTCACATGGCAGTAGTAAATGTCCATTCTATTGTAACTTTGAGTGGGTAAGGACATGCTCAAGGAGAGGAGGATGATTAGTTGCAGGGAAAACGTTTTAGATTTTATCATTTCAGTTCTGTTTTTTCAAATGGAGACTTTGATGGAGAGAAAAACTAAGAGTTCATTAATTAAGTACAGCCCTTATTAATTACCTGCTACATGCCAGGTACTATCAGACTATACACTTGGTGGGTTCTAGCTCCTGCTTCCAAAAGTACTTATAGTCTCTTAGGAGAGACAAATATGCACACATATACTTAATTCATCATGCAGTGCCCAATTAAAGTTCTGATGCAGAAGTTGGGTAGGAAACAGTTTATAGTAGATTTGGCATTAGGCCTGGATTTTGGAAAATGATAGAATATTCTTCAAGCTTATTGGGTAAAGGTGAAAAGGTACAATCTTGTTTGGATGCAGCACATAGTTTGTTAGAGCAAAAAGGTGCATGAAGCAACAAGGTGGGTTTTATGACTTTTATTTTATTAGACACTCGGTAGCCATTGAAGGTTGAGCCAGAAAGTGATATGATCAGGCTGTGGCAGCATGTGTTCAGGTACAGGAAGGAGGACTGAGGGAGAGAGAAGTTAAGCTGATGTTGGCCTTTTATAGGTCAATAAAGGAGGGAAGGAAGGAATATGGAACGAGCAGATGTGAGAGTGCCACTTCAGAGGACTTGGTGACATTGGAGGCCTGGCAACTTGGGTAGATGGAGGGAGAGGATGCCAGCTCTCAGGCTGGAATGTGTGGAGGAGCTTACTGCAGTAATGAAGAAGTATGCCACTGCAGATTCTCAGCTGCTGCATGAGGATGCTGCCTGGATTCGTAATTGGAAATGTGAGGTTGGCCCTTCTGTGAAATAAAGTGTAGACTTGACAGTAGCAACCTGAACATTATAGCCAAAGTAGGGAGAGGATGGAATCTTTGCTGGGGAAGTATAAGCCCGGTGGTTTTCAGGGATCAGGTTCTTGGATGTATCTAGTTGGTGGGAATGTAGTGGAGACTGATATAACTAGTACCAGAATTGTATTGAGTGCCCATCTGCATTTCACCTGCCAAGCTCTGTTCAGTTTAATGTTACCTAAGAGCCTAGTGTTGTTAATGCCCTTAAGTTTTCTCTGTCTAGGAGAAGCTGAAAGGGGAATAAAGTAATCTGGTATTGAATAGTCTCGTAAATGACAAATCGGGAAGAGAGACGATTTTTATGGTGAAATGAACTCTGAACCTAGGATTCTTAATTTTATTCCAAAGTATCTGAAAACTATACTTCTTAAAGTGACAGCTCAGAGAAGCTCATTGTATAGTTACTAGATATCACTATTATGCTTTGGCCTGTGATATAAAATGTGATTGATTTTTATGCCTAGTTTCTGTCAGAGAGGCCCTAACTGTAGGGATGTCTCCTGGATTAATGTTTTCTATTGTCCTTAGTGAGCACCTTGCCCACATTTGAGCTTATGCTGAAGCTATGAGAGCGCTTGTTGCAAAGCCTCAGGAGTGGGTGGTTGGAGATCAAATTCTCGTAACTATGAAAAGTCTTCAAACAAGAGGATTTAATGAACCTTCTGGATGCTAGAGAGTGTTGTGTCTAGAAAAGACTTGGAACCCCCACCCCATACCTTTCCTGTGCAACTCTTGTGTAGGGCACATCTTGATCTTTGTTCTTTGTATTAAATTGTAAACATAAATAGTGTTTCCCTGAGATCTGCAGACAAAGCATTGATCCCAGTGTGGCAGGTTGTGAAAACCCCATTTAATAGCCAGTCAGAAGCACTAGTCACAATTTGGGCCTTGCTTTTGGCATCTGGATGGGGCAGTCTGTGGGATCTCTCACTCTCCAGGTATATAGTGTGAGGACTGAATTAAATTAGCTTCAGTTTGCTTAGTATATTTATGTCTAGTCTCTCCCACTCCCCCAGCAGTGTTACAAGTGTTTGGGGAGTTTGTTTTCCCAGGCCCTTTCTCTATTAGGGCAAAGGTAGTTGAGTGAGCTGCCCTAGTCATCCCTTAACAGGCTGTTCTCAGCTAATTGCCAGATTTCCTCCAGCCCAACCACTTGTCCCTTACTCTGTGACTGGACAGTGCCTTAGTAAACACAGAAGCATTCTGTAATGTGCAGAAGCCAAAGGGGATGAAAGGGTATATGCAGCTAAACAGTTTCAGAGCTGAGCATCAGCAGCAATGAGAGAGACTGCACTCTTTTCATCCTTGAGAGGTTAATGTGTGTTACTTGCTTCTTGCAGTATAGTCTGAGTTTTAGAATTCAGCACAAGAGTAGTGCTTCTACTATGATTATCCTTGCAGTGTCAGTACAGGATCATAGCAAGACTGTGGAACCCTAAATATTAGTGTTCATATATGTAGCTTGTACTTTCTTATCAAGTCTTTCTAAGTTTTCGGAAACTAGGCAGTTCATCTTCTTTTGTTTTAGGAATTAACATTTTCCCCCAGAAAAGATTATCCACTCATAGAACCAAAAGCCATCAATGCTCACCTAATCTTAAATGTTGAAACATGGGTTGAGTTTTCTCATTTCTGACCTTACTTTGAGTGGATAACACTAAAGCTGCCTATTGTTTTCTAGAGAATGACATTTGAGGTTTCCAGTCGAGGTCAGATTAAATTGATTAACTCTCCCTCCTGTAATAGAACAGTCTTGCTGCTTTTTCAGGCTCCACCAGCATAGTGTACCCTGAATGCCTTATGCATCATGATAGTGTTCTCTCCCTGTGATAGAATTCTCTCCTTTGTGCACAGCTATGGACAAAGTTTAAGAGGCATCTCTTGAAATCTTTTATTTCCTTTACTCACCGTGGAGGTATTCATTGGTAACATTTTCACGAGGGAGTAGGTGAGCTGGCTCTATTTACCCCAGGTAAAAGGACTCTATTAATGAAGGTAGAAAGCTCCAGGGAAAGCTGCTTTTTTTTTTTTTTCCTTTCTAGCTCTCTTCCATAGTCTGGATTTTACTAGTAATGAAGACACCTAACGTGTAACACACTTGCCTTTTCTAAGTTCTGTCACATACATGGTGTCCTTCTGTTCTAAATGACCTTGCTAAGAAATCATGTTTTGTGGATAAAGAGAACCAGATTCTGGAAGTTAAAGAAAGTCCTTTATTTTTCTGAAAGCAAAAATGGTCACTTTTTTTGTGGTAATTTGGTTTTGGGCAGCAGTTTGAAGGAGTCTGTCTTCACTGGTCGTGTGCTATTTCTAGTCAGTTCCTTGGTCTGGAGAATGTTCAGGTGAATGAGTTGAGAGTCTGAACAGATAGCCTTGGCTCCTTGTATTCTCAGTTCTGTACAGTTGCTAACTTGCCTTGGGTTTTGGCCACCCTGGGAGAGGAGTGGAGCCCCCTTTCACGATGGGTGGTAATTGACTACCATTGGCTCTCCAGATTGGGATTGAGGCTTTCACAGAGTAGTAGTGGAGGTGCTCCCTGAAAAAGAATTTCATTCTTGCACTGCTGTTTTGCTTTTTCCCTCCTCAGTGGGCTACCTTGAGAATGGAGAGAGGAGCCAAGGAGAAGAACCACCAACTTTACAAGCCCTATACCAATGGTAAGACTTGAGTCTTGATCCTTAGCCTAAGGGTCCTTTGATATAGGTCTCTTAAGTGCTTTCATTTGTACACTGGTTGAATTCATTTCTGATGCTATAACACAATTCCCAGAACTGGGTACTTTGCAAAAGAGAAAAAGGGTATTTAGCTCAGTTTGGATAGAAATTTGGGGCTCCCTAACTGTACCACATGGCAGGATATGTGAAAGGGAAGAAAGAAGGAAAGGGTCTGTTACATGGCAAAAGAGATCTCACAAACTTGAGGGGCCAGGTTTGCATTTTAAAAACAACCCAATAGGGCTGGGAAGGTAGCTCAGTGGTAGAGCGCTTGCCTTGCATGCCTGAGGCCCTGGGTTCAATTCCTCAGCACCACATAAGCAAAAAGAAAAAAGCCAGAAGTGGCGCTGTGGCTCAAGTGGTAGAGCGCTAGCCTTGAGCTGAAGAGCTGAGGGACAGTGCCCAGGCCCAGAGTTAGACCCCATGACCAGACCCCCCCCCAAAAAAAATAAATAAAATAAAAACAACCCAATAGGGCTGGGAAGGTAGCTCAGTGGTAGAGCGCTTGCCTTGCATGCCTGAGGCCCTGGGTTCAATTCCTCAGCACCACATAAGCAAAAAGAAAAAAGCCAGAAGTGGCGCTGTGGCTCAAGTGGTAGAGCGCTAGCCTTGAGCTGAAGAGCTGAGGGACAGTGCCCAGGCCCAGAGTTCAGACCCCATGACCAGACCCCCCCCCAAAAAAAATAAATAAAATAAAAACAACCCAATATCATGGGAATGACTCCACCCCTTATACCCACTCCCACAGCATGATTTCCCTTTAATAGGCCAGCAGCCTTGTGACCTACTCCTCTTCCATGAGGTCCTACCTTAAAGGTCTACCACACATTGGGAACCAGGTTTCTAACTCCTCAACCTTTGGAGCACACATTACATTTACACTTCATGGCATAAGATGTAGGCTACGTACCCTGAGTGTTTTTCACATACTTTGCTGAAGCATGCCACTTGACAGGTGTGTTGTATTTTTCAGGAATAATTGCAAAAGATCCTACTTCACTAGAAGAAGAAATCAAAGAAATTCGTCGAAGTGGCAGTAGTAAGGCTCTGGATAATACTCTGGAGTTTGAGCTCTCTGACATTTTCTACTTTTGCCGGAAAGGAATGGAGACTATTATGGACGATGAAGTGACCAAGAGATTCTCAGCAGAGGAATTGGAGTCATGGAACCTGCTGAGCAGAACCAATTATAACTTCCAGTACATCAGCCTTCGGCTCACTGTGTTATGGGGGCTAGGAGTGCTGATTCGATATTGCTTCCTCCTGCCACTCAGGTGAGGAAAAGTGTAGTAACAGAAAGCCTGATGCTCTGCCTCACTCTATGCAGGACCTCCCTATCTTCCATTTTAGAAAGAGGATAGTGTGGCTTTTGCTCTGGCTTAGAAGGGCATACTAGCATTACTCTTTCAAGATCTGTGAATATTCAGGATATTAAACAGCAATAGTTGGGTTTCTTAAAAACAGATCGCTTGCCTAGATGGACTGAACGCAGCCAGGGAACATGGTGTACTTTCTGGCCTGTCCACTCTGGGCATGGCCTTCTTTCCTGAATCCTGCTTCTCTGATACAGAGGCAGTATTGAATTCTAACTTTCTGTGTCCTGTGCTGTTCTGAGTGTCGTGCCAGATGCTGGTACCTTCAGGCCTTACTTTTCTTATTGCTTCACAGAGGCTTTGCTTCTGCCAGGCTGTAAAGCTGAAGAGAGGGGAAGCCAGCAGGACAGCAGGTGCCTGAGGGCAGCCCATGTGACCCTAGGGAGGCCTGTCATTCCAGCTGCTGAGGCTAAGGAGACATGTCAGCGAGGGTTAGTTTGGAATCCCAGGGAAACTCTAGTTCTAACACGCAACACCTATTTCTGTGAAGAGCTCTTCATTTAAAATTTTTATTATTTTTTGGCTGTACTGGAGATTGAACTCAGATCTGTATTTTTGATTCTTGCCTTAGTGTTCATACATGTACTGTCTCCTGGGCTGGTGTGATGTGCTCTTGTCTTTTACAGGATAGCTCTTGCATTCACAGGGATCAGCCTGCTGGTGGTGGGCACCACTGTGGTGGGATACCTGCCAAATGGAAGGTGAGTAGGGTGTGAGTGTTCCTGCAGGGAGGAGGAGGCACGTCATTCTGGGAATGGTGACTCACAGCGAAAGGAGACCACTTGTCAGATGCTATTCCAACCCAAGAATCTAAGATGGTTCAAGAAACCTCATGCTCACTTTGGCATCCACATTAAAGACTTTCATTTTGTGCCTGATCTTGATCAGTGACTGTTATTTTGGCCTTCCAACCCATATATTCCTCCCACTTTAAAATAAAGGAAGCAACTCCCAAAGGGTTAGTCTGGGACTCAGATATTAACGTATTTTATTTATAGAGTGTCTGGTGGTTTGGAGTTTTTGTTTTGTTGGTGGTTCTGGGTTCAAAGCCAAGGCCTGGATTATACTATGATCTCTGCCCCCAGCAGAGATCATGTGTTTAGTTTTATGTGTTCTGTTAGGTTCATAAACTTACTAGAGAATAAGTGCTAAAAAATTTATTTAGAATACAGGAAGGGTTTTTTATTTTTTGAAACCTCAGGGGAAGTTGGAGAGCCAGTAGATCTCTGTTCTTCCAGGCTGTGAGGGGGCTGCATTCAGGCCTGACTCAAGTGGGCAAAGGAACCTAGGAGACCATGGTTCCCCTGTGCCAGGAACCATAACATGGGCGAATATAATCAAGCTACGTTGCATTTCTTTGTTTTCTTGTGAGTGACTCAAGAATGAAAATACATTATAGGGTTTTACTATATGTACTAATGCTTAGGAAAGTACTTGACAGACTGTTGAGTAGTTACGAGTCAGCAGCTTGTCCTGTCTTCCTCTATGTCAAACAATACCCCAAATCTTATCATGTTGTTGCAGGCTTAAGGAGTTCTTGAGTAAACATGTTCACTTGATGTGTTACCGGATCTGCGTGCGTGCCTTGACAGCTATCATTACCTACCATGACAGGTGAGGGGACTTGGTAGCACTGTAAGGGGAGAGCAGTGACCAAGAATGTGGCCTGCCTGCACTCAGCCATACTCCTTAGCTTTTAGCTAGCTTCTGATGACACTTGTGAGGTGAGAATTGTTTTCCAAAGGAATTCCTACACACTCATTCTTGTTGCTTTGCATATGTTTTACCCCCAGGAAAAACAGACCAAGAAATGGTGGTATCTGTGTGGCTAATCATACATCTCCCATCGACGTGATCATTTTGGCCAGTGATGGCTATTATGCCATGGTAAAACAAGTTCTGTTTCTATTGTTTTCTTGAAATGGGACTTACTTAGCTGAATCAGTGCTGGGAGACTTTTGGACCCTTCACAGAACACAAGGCACATATATAAGTATGTGATTACATGTGGCCTCAACCTAGATTCCCTTGGGGAATGCTAAGAACTTGGATAAGAGCTGTTCTGAGCAGAGTAACAGAGTAGCTAGAGATTGTGCCTTGAATATTTGGTCTGGGTATCTGGCAGTCAGATGGTAGACCATTCCGGGGGAGAGGGAAGCCAAGGAGAGCTAGACTTGAGGGCATTTGAGACTATCCAAGGAGGATTACTGTATAGAACTTGGTGGTTATTTTGACTTAAGTGTTTAGTTATATTTTTAGTTACAGACCTCTAGTGTCACTCATAACAAAGAGAAATTTAGGATTGGTGAGTCTGAGTACTGTTTTCTTGAAAGAAACCTAGTTAGCAATCAACTATTTGAGGATGAGAGATTGGGATACTTACTTTGTGGGACCAGGGGAGCAATTGTATGAGAACGAATTCACTGTTAATTATTCCTTTGTCTGGGATTAGGTGGGTCAGGTGCATGGAGGCCTCATGGGTGTTATTCAGAGAGCCATGGTGAAGGCGTGCCCACATGTCTGGTTTGAACGGTCTGAAGTGAAAGATCGCCATCTGGTGGCTAAGAGGTAAATGGACAAAATAAGCATTGTAGGAATACTTTACACTGAGCCTATAAAGTTTCCACAAGTTTTGTTTTGTTTTCTGAAATTGGGAACATATAGTTTACAGAAGTCTGAGTATTGTTTCTAAAGTTAATAACGTTTTATTATACTCATCCTAATAAAATATGAGTCTTTTTTTTTTCCACTTTGGGCAGTGCTGGGAATGAAATGGAAGGCCTTAAAGGCAAGCATTCTGTTACTAAACTACATCTCCAGTCCAAATAGAAGCTTCCTTTGATGTTTGAATCTCCAAATGAATTCATTATTACTAATAAAAATCATCTTAAGGCTGTAGGTAATTTAAAGAGCTTTTCACAGGCATTAAGACTTTATTGAAATTGGCTGTTGTTTTTTCTTCAGGTGCTGGGGGCCAAACCTAGGGCCTCCAGTCAGCACCGTATCCCACAATCAGTGGAACACCATCTTTTATAGAGACAGTGAATTCACCCCCCACCCCCAACACTGAGTTCCCTTTGCTGTATCTTAGGAATAGAATACTGAGCCAAGGGGTAGAGAACTGTCTTACATAATTTTCTGCTGCTGTAACAGAATGCCTGAGACTAGAAGCTAGAGATTCCAAAATTGGATATCTATATCTGTATCTGGCATGGCCTTTATTTTTTGTCATAACCCAGTAGAAAAGCAGAAGGGCAAGTGATTATGTGTAGACAGACAAAATGAGGGGTGGTCTTGCCTTCCCCATGTTCAAGGTGACTCAGTCCTGAGGACTGCATTTATCAGTTTTTCTTAAAATCTAGTTTCCTCTTAATGGCCTTATCTCTCAACACCACCATGGTGACAGTCGAATTTCACCATCATTTTTTGAGCGAATGAAGTCACCATTAGACCATAGTGTAGTTTAATCCAGTGTGACCATTGTTATAGTCAGATAGCCAGGGTTTATTGAGAGTATGGCTGTTGCTTCCTTCAGATAGAACCAAGTTTGCAGTATTCTCTGGGTCCAGACTTTAGTACTGTATTGAATTGAACAATTATATGAGTTTAAAAGTAGTCATTAATTTTGTCTGCCCATCTAAATTAGTGTCGAATAAACATAAATGCACTTTGATAACAAAGGGCAGAGAATCATCTGAACTTTTATTTTCTTCTTCTATAGACTGACTGAACACGTGCAAGATAAAAGCAAGTTGCCTATTCTTATCTTCCCAGAAGGTAAGAAGGGGTTAATGACCATAAAGAGCTTTGGGATGGGAAGTCAGTTAAGATTGTGACCCTGATATGCCTGGAAACCTGTCCCTCAGCCCTTGCTTGAGTTGTCTATTTGTACTATATCGTGTTAGGTCCCATTTAGACTGTGAGTGGGACTAAAAACTGGACAAAGTTCAGAATTTAGCACGAGTTTCCCAGTGTGAACTTTTTCAGTCCAGGAGTCCCTTACTGATGGCAGTCCTTGGAGTTTCTTGCAGTATCCCTCAGCCCTCCAAGTCTGCTCAGTGTCCCTGGCCCCTTGTCTAGGTCAAGTTGTGCTAGTTGGCGATATGGCCACGGAGAGGAGTTTCCTAGCTCTGTAAAGTGTTCATGAAATGGATGATGACAAGGTAACTATTTGAAGAGCTGCTAGAAGAATTGGAATTATTATAATTATGTTATACTTAGATGTTTTACTTCTACCTGCATTTTAGGAACCTGTATCAATAACACGTCGGTGATGATGTTCAAAAAGGGAAGTTTTGAGATTGGAGCCACTGTTTACCCTGTTGCTATCAAGGTACAGGACCTCCAAGAATGCATGCTGTCCTGTCACAGCTGGATAGGTGCTGACCATGTCAAAAAAAGTGCTAAAGGAGGAGAATGGGAGCAGTAAAGAGGTCCAGGGGCCTGGGTGTTAGCAGAGGAACCAGAGCTCTGCTCACCAGTGGATTTCAGAAATGGCAGCTTCTCATCAGCTCTGTGTTTGCCCCTCTCACTTGCTACCTCACTCTTCATAGACCCAGCTCACTGGAGAGCACTCCCCATGGGAAGGAGGCTGTGGGCTAGGTTGGTCCATTGGGTGGAAGGAAGGACTGACAGGTCTCTACCAACACCACAGTGCAATAGGACTCTACTGCTTGGGTAGCAACGTCATCTCATGCCAATAAGCAGCTTCTCCACCCTGCCCCGCCCTTGTCAACTTGTCCTTTCAAGCTCCCTGGATACATGCGATGTGCCAGCCAGTCAGCTTCATCATCTTTTTCTCTTCTTTCCTTCTCATCCTTTGAGTGTCAACAGTGGGTCCAAAGTTTTTCTTACAGAATCCAGACCTGGGATTGGGAAGGTGGCTCAGCGGTAGAGTGCTTGCCTAGCATGCATGAGGCCCTGGGTTCAATTCTGCAGTACCACATAATAATAATAAAACTATATTTTTTAAAAAGAATCCAGATCACACCTCATCATTCTGTCAAACAGGCTGTTGGCAGTGTGGTCTAAGTACCTCGGCTGGAATCTTAGCAGGGTCAGTAGCTGTGCTACAGTTGAGGGTTAGCAAGCGTAGCATGTATTCTTAATTGCCTTGATTTTGGGGTAGGCCAGTTCATGCAAGCTGCTCGCCTTTTGCCGGCACAAGAATGACTGCAGGATACCTTAGAGTAGCCGAGCCTTTTATGGAGAATGATGAGTCAGTGGATAGTCCGTTTTCGGTGTCTACTGGGGCAGTGGGGTATGGTGAATCCTGTGGGCTGACCTGCAGTCTAGCATAATGGGAGTCAGGCCTTTGACGGAGTATGCTCAGGGAGTGGCTGGTCTTCATTCTTCGACATCAGCTGTGTGAACTGCACCTGCTGGATGCTTAAAATACAGATACTGGGTTCTACACCAGAGTTGCGAAATTGACATTTTAACATGTCCCTGGCTAGTGATGATCAGGGATCTACTGGAAGTATATTGCTCTGGAGAATAGTTTGTACCCATTGTTGGAACGTGGGCTCCTCTGCAAAGCAAATACATGTAAACTTTACATGAATTTTTATTTGGTCCATAAAGTGGATAACTTTAGCAGCATCAAGGCTAATCATATTTCCACGGAAGTTAAGTCAGTGTCTGATTTTGAGGTGCTATTGTACTTTTGCCTTTTTTATACTGTAGTGCCAGCCCAGAGTGGAAGAGAGACTGAACTCTAACCAAAGTGCACACCACTCATTGTGCCTGGCTAACAGAACTTTCTTTATCGTCATGAACTTAGCTTATTGGTTGAAATTCTCCCTTAACTTTCTCTTAGTGAGTTCATTAAGCTTTCCACAGTTAAATCTTTTTTAGTTTCTTTTTTTGGGTCCGGTCGTGGGGCCTGAACTCTGGGCCTGGGCACTGTCCCTCAGCTCTTCAGCTCAAGGCTAGCGCTCTACCACTTGAGCCACAGCGCCACTTCCGGCTTTTTTTCTTTTTGCTTATATGGTGCTGAGGAATTGAACCCAGGGTCGCATGCAAGGCAAGCGCTCTACCACTGAGCCACCTTCCCAGCCCTCTTTTTTAGTTTCTGTTAGTAAGTCTCAGTGTTTTTTTGTAGTTAGCACTATAATCTTAACATGCTTGTCTGATTTTGTTCTAAAACTAAAGCTAGAAAGGCCTAAAAAAAAAACATACAGTTAATCCCTATCCTTCAAGCTCAGTCACTTTCACATTGGTGGCCTCTTCCCAGAAAAAAAGGGTACCGGTGGCATGTTGGTCCTGTAGAACAAATTGAAATTTTATTTTCTTTTATTTGTCCACACTTCATTCCTTTGTTATCCCTCATTTAGAGTATTGCCCTGTTTATCACAGCCCTTCTAGATACTGAAAGGCTCCACTGTGCTTAGCAGCCTCAACACTCAGCTCTTCTTCTCTCTTCTTTTGTAACTTCCTCCTCTAGCCCATCTTAGACCAGGCTTTTCTGCTCCTGGGATTTCTGTGTGTTTGGTGAGAGGAAGGTTTGTAGCTACAGCTGTATTTTCCCTAAAATACCATTGAGATAGCTTTTGCCTCCATTAGAGGCATTGACAAATGCCTACTTCTTGATGAAAAGTCCAGTCCCTGGTTGCAGCCTTGAGAGACAGTCATCAGCATATAGCCATTCACTAATGGACACTGATTTAATCAGCACAGATAAATTCTTCCTGTCCAAACAAATAATTTACATTGTTAAATTATAAATACATAAATTGTTTTTGCAATTGCATTAAAATAGTAAAATAGCATATTATAAGCGCTCTCATTGGTTCTTCAGCCTGGAGCATGGGAAAGATATAAAAAAGCTAGCAATTATACAAAAAGATACTTAATTTGGATGTATATTAGACATGTTTATAAGGGGATGCCATGGCGTTAATGAGGGGGGCAGGTGAAGATGGCAATAGTTAGGGAAATGGGTGCATGGGAGTAGATTATTCTGTTCAATGATTTTGGATGTATCTGGAAAGTTTAATTTGTGTTTGTGTGTGTGTGTGTGTGTGTGTGTGTGTGTGTGTAGCAAATCGCTGTTGGTTGGAGGATGGTGGTCAACAGAGGCCTTACTGATGCTCTGCACAGAGCTGAGGACAGTTGAGTATGGCTCAAGGACAGAGCTGCTATGTACAGAGCTGCTTGCTTAATGTTTTCATGGGAGATGGGAGATGCACTCTGCTCAGTGGATCCATTCACAGATATGCTCTGACAGCATACATTGCCAGACTACTCACATCCAGCTTCCTGTGTTTTTCAGTATGACCCTCAGTTTGGTGATGCATTCTGGAACAGCAGCAAGTACGGGATGGTGACATACCTGCTGAGAATGATGACCAGCTGGGCCATTGTCTGCAGCGTTTGGTACTTGCCTCCTATGACCAGAGAGGTAGGAGCCTCCCTCCCCACAGGCATCCCCACTCAGCTGACTGTGACCATGAGTCTGTGCTGTGATCTGATTCATTCTTTGTTACAGAAAGATGAAGATGCTGTGCAGTTTGCTAACAGGGTGAAGTCTGCCATTGCCAGGCAGGGAGGACTGGTGGACCTGCTGTGGTAAGTAAAGCCAACAGTTAGCTGAGTAAATCCAGTCCAAAACACACCCGAGCAGGTGCCCAACTGCCTTTGCAAGGGCCTCTCCTTCCTGGTGTGGTGGTAAAACCCCACATATACCCTGGAGAGGGAAGGCTGGAATCTTTTTACCTGGTTTCTCCTCAGAATGGCCTGGAATTTCCAGTGTACCAGTGCCCCACATAGTTACCATCTCCAGATGGGAATGAACTTTGGCTGGGTGGCAATCTCATAAATACAGTGCTTTCTCTGATCTCTGTGCATTTAGCACAGAGAGTTAGACAAACCATAGAAAGAAAGGCATTTCACTTTTGCATTTTTCTTGTTTCCTACTAGAGTAGGAGTTGACAAACTTTTTCTGTAAAGTCAGTAAATATTTTAGACTTTATGGGCCATAATGCCTATTGTAACCTCTTCTGCCATTATAGTGTAAAAGCATCCAGAAAATGAATAAACATAGTTGTTTTCCAATAAAACTTTATTTGCAAGAACAGATGGGAGGCTGGATGTGAAGTTGTAGCCTTTAGGCCAGAGTTTACTACCCTCATTCTAAAATCTGAGGTACTTACACTCCACATCAGGAGATCAGTAGAGACATACACTAGTTCAGATAAACTTTGCCACACTGTGTTGATGTCAGCTTTTGGAACAAGGGTCAAAGTTGTGAATGGTGGTGGACAACTGTCCAATTGCCCAAGGAGTAGAGGCAGGAATATTATGAATTGGAGGCCAGTCCAGACAAAAACAAAAGGGTTGAGAACAAGTGGTAGAGTAAGCTTGCGAGATAAGCCCTCGGTTCAGTCCCTAGTAGTGCCTCCAATTTTTTTTTTTTTAATAAGAGTAAGTAAGAGTCAGCTTCGGATGGGATTTGACTTGGTTGACATAACAAAACAGAAAATAGCATTACCTTTAGGTTTTTGGCCTTTTAAAAAATGCAAATGTTGGGCTGCGACTGTGGCTTAGTGATAGAGTGCTTGCCTAGCATGCATGAAGCCCTGGGTTCGATTCCTCTGAAAAAGCCAGAAGTGGTGCTGTTGCTCAAGTGGTAGAGTGCTATCCTTGAGCAAAAAAAGCAAATCTTAGCCTGGTATGGTAGCACTCAGAGGTTGAGGTAGGATAGCAAATTCTGTTTTTGCCAGTCCTGGGGCTTGAACTCAGGGACTGGGTACTGTCCCTGAGCTTCTTTTGCTCAAGGCTAGCACTTATCACTTGAGCCACAGTGCCACTTCTGGCTTTTTCTGTTTATGTGGTGCTGCAGAATTGAACCCAGGGCTCCATGTCTGCTAAGCAAGCACTCTGTTACTAAGCCACATTCCCAGCCCTCAAATGGCAACTTTTGAGGCCAGCCTTGAACTAGGAGATCATGTTTCAAAAACAAAACTGAAAATGTCAGTTTTAATATCTTGAATGCCTACTGTGCACCTCATGGTGCTTCTAGTACTCTGTGTAGTGATTTTAGCTCACCTCAGGTGACCCCACAGAGAGAGGTCACTATTTTCACCTCAAGGTTAAGATGCTGAAACATTTAAGAGAGGTCAAGTTACTTTTGCTAATGTCTCAAAGAAGGTCTGGAGCTGGATTTTGAATGCAAACTGACAGGCTGACAGGCTTTTAGTTAGGAAGTTTATCTGTTACTCCATGTTCCCTTGTCATTGAGCATTGCTTCTTGACTGAGTTTTAAGAGTAGAGCAGAGACTGAGAGGAGACTTCGGCTTTCACCCTTTGAAGAAGGAAACACTGGAGTTAAGCAGGGAATTGGGGTGTGGGTGGGAATGGGAGTGGGAAGGAGCAAATGCAGGTCTAGAGGATTTAGAGGTGTGCAGAAGTGTGGACTGGCAAGGCCATCACCCTGAGAGTAGGCAGAAGAGTTCAGGCTGTGGCTGGCTCACAGTACTGTCTGTAGGGTGTAGAGATAAGAACTTGCTTTTCCCTGGGGCTGGGTGAGCCGCTCAGAGTTATGGGACTTGCCTATTACAAGGCTCTGGAATTCATCCCAGAATCTTAGGTGTAAACTTTATAGCTAACATTTTATAAAGGAATTTATGGATATTTTGAATCTCAGTACTTCCTAAAGCTTTGGCTCTTTTCCTTCTGGGGATACTGGAGTAAGTAGTACCTTTTGTCCTCTATGCTTTGTAAGGGAAAGATGAACGTTAGTATACAAAAAATGTTAACCTCCTTGAAAAGGGTGGGGAGTTTTACAGTGTGTTCACCATGAATTGTAAATGCTGACCTCAGGTTCCCAGGAGTTCAGGCAGGTCTGCAGTCCTCTTGATGAGAGGCCCTGGTGTTCCTGTGTTTCCTGCTGGCCTGTGATGGGTTTTGAGCTGTTTAGGGTATCTCCAAAATGGGGTTGGTCAGGGAGCCTTTCCTGCTGTAACATTGACCTTTCTCTCTCAGGGATGGTGGATTAAAGAGGGAGAAGGTGAAAGACACATTTAAGGAAGAGCAGCAGAAGCTGTACAGCAAGATGATTGTTGGGAACCATGAGGACAGGAGCCGTTCCTGAGTCTGCATCCCACGCTGGCTGGAGCCTCTGCCTCCAAGTCCCGACAATGAGCCAGCAGAAGACGCTGCTGCTCCCGCTCCGCCTCCACCACCACTACCACCACCGTGCCCCACTGCTGCACCCTTCCAGACTCAGGATCCCAGGACTCCAGCTTCTTCAGAGCCACACAGGGATCCCTGGGCTCAGGCAGCACAGCCTGCCCACTGTCATCTGCTGCAAAGTTGCTGGGTGCTCCAGCCAGGACAAGATGCCTTCTTGTTCCCTTTACAATAAGCCTGTTGGAGGAGTGCCATTAAAGTCAGCTCTCCACCTGTGTGCGTCATCTCGGGCTGAGTGGTTGGGAGGACTGTCCTCAACCTTGGTAGGGTTTGGGATTCAGTCCTTGTGGTCGCACATGTGCCAGGGACTTACTAGGGGAGGCCGGCACATGACTCCAGAGGAGAGGGGCACTGCCAAGATGGCTGGGCCCGCCTCTAGCCCAAACAGCACCCAGCCTCAGATCTCTGCAGACCCGGTGAAAAGAAGACTTGTTTGCAGGGGCATTGGGCCAAATGAAGTTTTAAAAAGTTCTGGAGCTCCTGCTTAAGGGGTGTCACAGGATGGGGAGAGGCCAGTGCCCCCTTGACCAGTCTGTGACAAGAGCCAGGAATCTGTGTTCAAACTCCAGGCTGAGCCTGAATTTCCCATGTGACTTGCACTTTGTTTAATGTGTGCCTCGTCTTCCCCATGTGTGTCATGGGTCAGCAGGGGAAGGGAAGGTGGTGACATCTACCTCACAGGGTTGTTGTGGGGACTCCAGTGCTACTATGAGTGACGGACATGTGATGTGCGGTGTACAAGTACAGGTTCATGGAATGTGGCGAGACAAAGTCAGCTCAGAGCTGTGCACAGGGCTTTGGGCATGTCTTGTGAGTAAATAAAACTAGATGGTGAATGAATTAAGGGACTTTCCCTTTACTCTCTGCCCCTTGAATGTAGCCCTGAAGAATGTATTCCCTGTCAAGTTTAGTTCTTGTACTTGAACATAATAACCCTGGAATGGCAGGGTCTGAACCTGACTTCCAGAATGAGGGTAAACGGCTCATACCAGGCATTTGCACATCTCTGGTTAGTTTATGGTTTCTAGAATAGACTGGTTTCTCCACAGATGAGCCATGGGATTGGAGGTGTATGCAAGGCATTGGTTGGTTGAGGCTGAGGAGAGGGTGGGCTGAGTTGGGGCAGTGTAGTATAAAAGTAAGGGAGAACAGAGGTTCTGAGGCTAGGTGAGGAGCCAGGTGAGGCCAACAAGGGTGTTGGTTTACCTTGGGTTCCACATCGCCACTGCAAAGGTAGATCCAGAGCCAGCCATCCTTGTGGGATCTGTTCACGTTCAGTATTGCAGGAGAGAGGGCGGTTTGCCTCAACCACCATTCATCCATCTGTTTGTCCCTCCCTCCTATATACCTCCATACCATTGTGGAAAGGTCAGGATACCCCTTATGATTTTGTACCAGCTGTGGTGTCCCCTGGGATTTGGGTTGTACTGTGAGTGAAGCCCACCTCTTGAGGTTTTGAACTGTCATTCAAGGCCCCTGTCCTGTTTGGTGGTATCCCTGCCACCTTCCTGTCACCTCCCCACATAATTGCCTGTTTCCTCAACCTGTCCCATTGCTAGCCAGTGAAAAGTTCTTTTCTCTCAAATAAAAACACTGTTATGACTAAGAATGCCTCTTACGAACTATTTTATGGGATGTTTAAGAATAAAAGGTTTTCAGCTTGTAGAAGGGGTGGTGTGTATAGTGTCAGAGCCAGTTGAATTGGCTTTGAAAATCAAGTTCTCTTTAAAAGAAGTTCCTATGAAATTCATCATGAAGTAGCTGTTTTTACTTCATGATATGCGTAGAGGATTTTATGGGGGGTTTTGCTTGTCTCATGTTACACACACCTGTCTGTTACTGGTTACAGCAGGAACAGTGAGAAGGAGGAGGGATGCGATTATACTCACGAAAATGAAATCTCTACAGACTGTTACGGCATTCAGGGCCACCTACCGCCCATCCTTCTTTAACTGGGGATCCTGCAGACCTAATAGTCCCAGAGTTGGAATTGTTTTGGGATCTCAGAGTTGGTCTGTAGGAAAGCCTCACAACATACTACAAACTACTCTTGGATCCCTGCCCTGACTGACCGGGGCAGTGGCCAGATTCAGTCCACTTCCACACTTGCTGCTCCACTGCTGTTCTCTTTTATCTGTTTCTTGATACATAACCAGGGACTTGGGTTGTGACTTCTAAGACCTTCTACCTCTGCAATTTAATTTTTGCCTCCAAAACAAGGGTTTGAACTCAGGACCTCATGCACTCGGTGTGCTTGCTTGCTTGCTCAGCTGGTGTTCTTGAGCCACCCAGTTTTTGCCAGTTGTTTTGGAAGGTGGAGTCCTTTCTGCCCAGGCTGGCTTCAAACTCAGTCCTCCAGATCTCTTTCTTCTAAATAGGATTATAGGTATGAGCTCCTGGTGTCCAGCTAATAACTGTTGATTTTAAGCTTTTCATTCAAATTGGCTTTGAGTTTCAAAATAGATTATTTGGAGCCATTTGTTCCCCCAAACCAGGCTTTTTTTTCTGCAGGGGTCCCCATGTGTGTGGAGCCCTTAAAGAGTGTAGATGATAGTGAGCCAGACCCACACTTCTTGAGATGGCCTACTTAAGATTGTGAATTAAAGGCAGATTTTTCATGCAAGCACGAGCCCTTTCTAGCTAGAGAAAACCTCCCAAAATACCAGTGAAGTACACCTGACAGGCAGCTCAATAGATGGCCCTGCAGCCAAGGCTAACTGAGCAAAGCTTGGCAGAGTAGTTTCAGGTGATCTCCTGACAGAACCAACCTTGGGGCATGCTTCCTTGCCACAGACCCTACTCCCTCTCTGCCCCTCCCAGACAAAGGCTTGATGTGTGAGGGACAGTGGGCAGGCCAGTGGCAAGGGGTTGTGGGCACCATAATGTCTCAGATCTTTGTGCAGAACCAGTGGTGGGCATAAACCCTAAACGCTCTATGGAAATCAGGTCTATGAACCCTGCTGCTTCCTAGAATTGACCAAAGTCTCAGGGTCTGGGATGGTACTTCCTTCTGTTCTCCAATTTGTAAAAGATAGCACTGAGTGCAGGCTCATCACCTGCTGTGCATCTTGGGTGGCCAGACTTGATTTCTTCAGATGCACCTATAGTGTGCAGCCTGGGATGTCTGGGCTGGAAGGGCAGCTCACGCACACTGACTCTTGGACAGGTTAAGAGACGACCATCCAGCCATCCATCTTCCATTGCTCTCACACCCCTCTCCCCTAGTCAATATGTCTCTCTCCGATGGGAAAGTTAATAAATTTTGCTCTAGATTAAAAGTATTGATCATTTCATTTGTAAACGATAAATAAAAAGGGGGAACTTTTCATTGCACCAAGGGTAGTGTCTGGTGTATTTTGCTGGTGAAATTTAGCTCGCTGTTGGGGGGTGGGTTTCTCATATGCATTCTGGCCGGCCAGCTGCATTGATTTCCTATTAGTCTCCCAGCACCACCCAGTAACACATCATTTCAGTCCTGCTATTAATGGTCTTTTGATAAATAATCACTTGTAAGTCAATAAATTTTTATTAAACAGTGTGGCTGTTTGATTTATTAAAATCCGACCGTGTTTGTCTGGGAGAAAAGGGATGCTGAATTGAAGTGGAGGTTTTCATACATCTTCCTGACGCCGAGCAGTCACCGCACACTCCAGAGAAAAACAATTGCATTTTAACAGAAACAAAACAGCCGAGTTTGGAACTTGGGCCCAGGGAAACTTTATCTTCGTCAGTGTGGGGCTTATTGTGCAGTGAGCTCCCGCAGTGAGGGCACCTCCACTGAGCCAAGAACTTTGTTTGCTCCTGAGAGTGGGGAGGTCTCAGGGCTATTTTCTGGGATGGCTCCAAGGTGGCCTGGGGCAGTCTTTCATTGGGAAACGGGCCCTGGAGCTGACCCCTGTGCAGAGATGGCATTGGAAATCACAGAGATGTTGGACTGCAGGACGTTTTAGCTGCCTTTCTGGCCAAATCACTAAAACCACATCTTGGGCAGGATAAGCCAAAAGATAGTCCGTGTATGTGGGTTGTTGTTGAAAGTGAGCCAATAGCTGGAGATTGAAAATCCCCAGAGGAGTTGTTTGACACCTTTTCATTAAAACCTGACTGCAGATAAACTTCTGTAGAAAGCAACCAAGCCACTGCAAACAGAGCCCAAAGAGATGTTACGGGGAAAGAAAACTAAATCTGGCTAATACATGTATGGAAATTAACAGTTGTAGTTCCTTAATTGAGCCCTCGTCCAGGCCTCTGCCATAGACTTCATCTCTGTCTGTTCTTCCTTGGGGTGGCTGGCAGGGATGAGATGGCTTCGAAAAGGGGGACATTTGTAAGTCCAGCTGAAGGCTCTGATGTTGTCTACCTGCTGCAGGCTTACTCTAGCTGTTTGGATTTCCTTTTTATCCTGATCTAGTGGGGAAAATGTGGTCATTTGTACCCTTACGGTGGGTGGCCAGGAAGCGGCACAGCAGGTATTTACACAGTGCTCAGCAGCAAGGCTCATTCTGCCCCTGGGTACAGAAGGTAGATTGAGGAGCCCAGCTTCTCTCTGCTGGACCTTATGACTGTAGCCCGACTTGGCCTCGAACTCCTGGTCCTCCTATTTTGATTTCCTGAGTACTAGGCATGCACCACCAGTCCTGCCTTGAGTCCATTTTCAAGATCAAGAGGAAACTTCCATGTTTCAGTTGAAACCCCATCTCTAGCCTTTGTTCATTCTTCTCTCCTAGCTTCCCCTACCCAAGTTCACTGTGCTCTTGGTTAGGAGGCCTTGGATGGGGAAGCTGGAAAAGAATCTGAATCTCTTGTGCTCTAAGTTGACGTGCTGTGAATTGAGTCAGATGCGTCAAACTGGGAAAGGAACAAAATGCTTAGAGGCTACCCTGCTAGCTGCTAATGGAAGACAGTGGGAATGAAGTTGGCACAAAGGTGTGACAAGGGGCATTTGAGCATCATCCTGCAGGCATTGTATACCTATTAATGAAGTAGAAAGAGGCAAATAGAAGTTGGATGTTGGAGGGGACTAACTTTCCTTTGGCAGGAAGGGAGTAGACATGTAGTTTCAAGAAAGGAAGGTTTGGCTATTCTTTGGACAGTGGCAACCATTTTCTCCCTTGACCACATAGCCTATAAATGATTCTGGAGTGTTTGAATCCCATGGCTTTCATCGCTCAGAATGGCTGAAACTCAGGGTTTCCATCTGATTCCACACAGGATCAGAGAGGTCCTCAGGCTCCCTGAGCCCGATCATGCCTGGCTTCCGAGCAGGACAAGCATTTGCCCCCGTAAGGAGCTTGAAAACCCAGGTGAGCAGCAGAGAGGCCCAGGAGCCCTGCTGTCCCCACGCCTGCAGCCTGGGCAGGACTCTGGTTTCCAGATTGATTCCCCAGCTGTGATTTGTCATCTCTCCTGGGCAGGCGCTGGTTTCTCTTGCTTCAGGAGGCCCCTTCGACACCTGCTTTATTTTTCTTCCTGCGCTGACGTGACGGGAGACAGGTGTTAAACTACTTAATCACTTTAAAATTGTTTTAATTTTCTGTTTTTTATTGATCTCTCCAGCACCAATTAATCAGCTCACTGGACCAGGCAGTTAGTACATTAAAAATTGTCAGAGAGGCCGTGCATCTTGCAAAATGTCTAAAAAATATTCGACTAGCAAATTTTGTTTTACTTTGGCATGCAACAGTCCTCAGCATGTAGAACTCCCACTTAGAAGGGG